GGGGTGGGCGCGGCTGGGTGCCCAGCCGCATGCCTGAAAGCCAGGGCTGCAGCCACGTGCCTCTGCTCTCGGCAGTGCCAGAGCCTCTGCCAGCGCAGCAGCAGGGCTGGGGACCTCTTGTCCTCCTCCTCCCACAGCCCCTGCCTGCTGCTTTCTTGTCCCACGCTGCCATGGAAGGTCCCTGCTGCGCTTTGTTCCCCAAGGGCCAGCTGCTCCGTGCTGTGTGGAGCAGGGATGGACGCAATCTCTTGTCTCTGCACAGGGGAGGAAGCCAGGAACCCACAACGCTCGATCCCCATTGGCATCATCGTGTCCCTTCTCATCTGCTTCGTGGCTTATTTTGGGGTCTCTGCAGCCCTGACCCTCATGGTGCCCTACTTCCTCCTGAACAAGGAGAGCCCCATCCCTGAGGCCTTCAAGGCGGTGCACTGGGAGCCTGCCCGCTATGCTGTTGCCGTCGGCTCGCTCTGTGCCCTCTCCACCAGGTAGGTCAGGCTCCATCCCTGGCACCGCCCGGCATAGCATGGGGACCAGCTGGGTCAGGGGTTTGCCCCATCCGGCTGCTGTTCTGCTCCTCGCAGAGCCGGTCCCATCCCATCTGGGCTGTGGGTGTGCACAGCGCGCCCGGCAGGCCCTGAGCCATCTCTCCCCACGGCAGCTTGCTGGGCTCCATGTTCCCCATGCCCCGTGTGATCTATGCCATGGCGGAGGACGGGCTGCTCTTCAAGCCCCTCTCCAACATCAACAGCCACACGAAGACCCCTCTGGTAGCCACCGTCACCTCTGGGTTCGTAGCAGGTAAGGCTCCCAACCGTCACCTTGCGCTCGCTCCCGCGGCGCTCTGGAGCCGTGCTCATGCTGTGTGTCCTTGTTGCAGCGCTGATGGCCTTCCTGTTTAACCTGAAGGACCTGGTGGACCTCATGTCGATCGGCACGCTGCTGGCCTACTCCCTAGTCGCTGTGTGCGTGCTCATCCTCCGGTGGGTGCCTTCTCTCACGTGCCGGTGCTGGGGGTGGGGGGATGTGCCTTGTGTCGAGCTCAGGGCTTGTGGCTACAGCCTTTTCCCTGGGGGATGCAGCTGGGAAAGCATCAGCCCCCAGGATGGAAGCTGCTCACAGGAACCTGCGTGGTGTCTCTGGGCACATCTGTGGGGTGGCTGGCATGGGGCGGCTGCCAGAGCAGCACGTGGAGCAGGAGGGGTATGAGGGTGCTGCCCACAGTCCCCTGGGCTGGGAATTTCCTTGGGCTCTGCTGAAGCTTATCCCTTCTGCTCAGGTACCAGTCCGAGCAGCTGAAATCCCCGAAGGCCATGGAAATGCTGGAACTGAATGGGAACGAGGAGGAGAGGGTGATCATGAACCCGACTGTCACCACCGCCAGCGCGCAGCAGAAAGAGGTGCTGTCCCTGGAGACTCTCTTCAACCCACCTGCGGACACCCCCACCGCGCTCTC